ACTGACTAAACCAAGCCAAATGAAACAAGAAATGGTAAGAAAGAAGAAAGGAACAAACAGGCCACTGGCACCTTGGGCACCCCACTCATAGCACTGATGACTCCACAACAATTGGGGTCCCACCTAGTAGCTCACTTTACCTTGGCAGCATGCCCCCTCCACACCTAAGAATTTTCTTCAATCCTCACAATTACTAAAATTCCCATCTTAGTGCTCCTCTTTTTGACCAGCATTTACATCTGTTTTTGATTTTTGCAAAAATATCAGAACAAGCTTATGTCTGAAACATACTAAAGCCTGTAAAAGCTCTTAGGTTTAACACACTACTTATGTAAAAACAGAAAACAAAAATATAAACAGAAAATTAACAAAAAAATATCAGAAATGTCCAATTCTACAACCAAATTTTAAACTTTATATCAAGTTTATTTAGGCCATGGGGGCACATATGCTGGCTTCTGTAACTATTCCTGATTTCTTTCTATCTCAGTAAGTGGCTTGAAACTCGACGGAACTTTCAAAATGGGACTACGTTCGGGGAACAGGATAATTTATAGCACTCTGCAGGCTCACAGATTCAACGTCATATGGATTCAACAGGAAGGATTCTTTACTCTTCTTTAAATGGCTAACAACTGACAAAATGTCATAAGTGCTAAGAATAGGCTTAACTTCAGCTTGCAGACATTCCTACACAGAAGTACCTTAACAGCTAATATTGCACAAACAGGCATCTTTATCAATCTCCTTAGTTTTAGTGCACTGATAAGGAGAGCAGCTCTTACCTCCAGCCTGCGCTGTTTCTCAGGATCTTCCTCGTTCATGATTCGCTCCTTCTCTGCTCTTTTCTTCTCCTCACGCCTGGACTGTGCAGCTTCCTGTCTCTGCACGTGAGTCAGCTTCAAGAAATTCTCTTCTACTCGGGCCCGGTTCTTATCTGCTTTTTGTTTGCCCTTTCCCCAAAAATAAAGCGTTTCATAAGAAATTCATTTGTAGCCAATAGATACAACATGCCATTTAGTATTTTTCTCCTAAAATGACTCCCAAGGATTTAGCACTTTCAAGTCAACTAGCTCTCAGTCATCTTGCGATCATTGATAACTGACCGCCAGGAAAAACAAACAACCCGTCCACAAATAACAAAAGGTGCCAACTTAAAATAAGGTTTCGGGTCTTACTTCTCTGTTGAGTCGGAACTTTTTGGCTTTATCAATAGAATAAATCACCATGTTCATCAGGGGTAGCAAAGCCTCCATATCCTTTGGGTAAGTGTTACCTGAGCCAGGCACTGGAAAACAAAGCCATTTTTCCTATTGAGTTAATGGCAGCATTAATAGTTCTGAGTCACCCAATTTTTCTTTAAAATCAATAAATAACGATAGATTCCTTTCTCCAACTCCTTAAGGCACTTAAAATGCAGTATAAATTAGAAATTTTAAAATACAAAAAGTTCTCTTCCTAAAAAAATCCAGAAATCAATAAGCAGGTATAGGGTTAGTTTTACTGTAGTTTTCTTTTTTAATTGTAATTTGGATGAAAGTTTACAGTTGTTTTCCATTCAACAGTTCATACACATTTTGTTTTGTGACATTGATTGCAATCTCTACAATGTAACAGTTTAGCTCTCTTCCCATCTCTTCCCTGTGGTTACCTTTTCCCTGTGTCCTTCCTCCCTTTGCACTCCCGCCCTCTGAGCTATCTCCCTGTGCAAATGCAGCCCTTCTGATCTCCTGTTGTTCTAAGGAATGCACCCACCTGGTATAAATGTTCACTTCATAGGTCTGTCATCTGGCTGTAAGCCATGGGAGTGAGTTCAATTCCAGGCCCTAAAGGTTACTAAGGGCCAAAGTCTTGGGGGTTTCTCCAGTCTCTATCAGATCTGTAAGCCTGATCTTTTTTATGACTTGGAGTTTTGTTCCACATTTTTCTCCCACTCTACCCCAGATCCAATTTGGATCCCTTTCCTAGTGGTTGGCAGTAGTAGCTGGGCACCATCTAGTTCTTCTGGTCTCAGGGTCACGTAGGCTGAGGTTCCTATTGGCCATCAGTTCTTTGGGCTAATTGTTTTCACGTGTCTTTGATTTTCTTCACTCTTCTTTGCTCCAGACAAAGAGAGACCAATCGTTGCATCTTAAATCACAGCTCACAAGCCTTTAATAACCAAGTCGCTACTCAACAAATGTAGAACAGTTTTTGTGTACTATGTTATGCTAATTCAGCTTGTTGCCCCCAGCGACTTAATGTAGTTTTATAGCTATCGTTTAGAGAGGGAAGAATACTCTTCAGAAGATCACCACACAGAACATTAAGGACTCAGCATGACTCAGAACACTTACCATTAAATGTAAACAAGAGTGTCCTCTTAGTGTCAGGTAGCTTTAAAGGCTGACCTTCCCTACCACAAAAGAAAAAGCTTTTTTTAGAAAGAACACTAGAAAGATACTCTCCACGCACACAAGTCACCCAGTGCACTTACATGAACAGATACTCCAAATAATAAGCCAGCACTGAGCCTGGCATCCCCAAACACAAATGGAATCTTAGAGTCCAAGAGAACTTACAGATCATCTGACCCAACCATTGATCTGATGGATGCATTTCTTCTGCAACACATACTTCCAAGTGTTCTTTCTTTACCCTATACTTAAAGACCTCAAGGAAGGATATAGTCCATTTCACCTGGGGAGCTAGAAATGAGCTTATATTTAAGGGCCCATATTTTAAATAATGGTTTTGCTTATTCTGATGGATTTTATCTCCAACTCCTGTGCTATCTTTCTATCAAACAGCATCTTATTTCTTAAATTCAGAATAAATTTAGGGATAACCTACTGTGGAATATGTAATTTAGTTCTGACTGTCACCAAAGACTCCTATGTAATCTTTATTCAGCCCTCCCCACTCCTATACACAAAATGGCCGAGGAATGCCATAATAAGATACTTTGCCCCCAGAGTTGCTACTGAGTGGAGCAAGGCAAGGATGAAGCAACGTAATGGATCTGAGTAAACATGACACAAACTAAAATCCAGTTTGGCTTTAATTATACTTAATTTTACAGCCTAGGAGAGGGCAGTACTTAACCAAAATTTAGGTGAGGACCAATTCTATGTCAAGGGTAGATTTTAAGTAATTATGCTCATCTGAGGCAGGCTGTGAATTCAAAGAACAAATCTAAACCCTGAAATACACACTTGAACAGTATTAACAGCCAGCCAGAAACTCTACGGGCATCGAGGGCTTCTGATACTATGCTCAGAAAAAGACACGATCAATCAACTATTCACAGAAGGAAGCCAGAAAAGGCCATGAATTACAAAACATACAACACAATGATTCAAACACGTAAGTCACACATCATAGATTATACAGCATAAATTGAGGGTGGGGAGAGAAGAACCTAGAATGTGAAGGAAAAAGAGATTAGCCATCGCACTTTCTTAGTGTCAGCCGTTCTCATCCACTTCACTGAGTGGATGGTGCGTACATGCAGGGACACATGCAAACTGGGATAAGCGCATGTATTTGCCTCCTATAGGTTTTCCATTACCTTGCACAATGCATGCAGCCAAAGCAAAGGAAAATTGGGATGCTTGTTACCAACTTCCCTCATTTATTTGGTAAGGGAAAATGCAGAAGCTCCCTGCAGGTTTTTCAACACAGAAAGCTAGTGAGGAAAATTAATTTCAGTATTTTTATCTTATACGTACTCTTGCATAATTTTTGGACCAGAGAACTGGTCTGAAAAATGAACAGATTCTATCTTGTCAGCATAGTGTGTAAGAAAATGAACCATCTGAAAAAAAAACAAAAAAAATCAGTTTTTTAAAGTGGGGTTTGACACATTTCCTAGTTTTCATAGATATTCACCCTTTAATCCTCCTCCTTTTTTCACAATGTCATTACAGCCAAACTTCTTTTAAAATTAAATTTAGTAAGATAAGGAACTTCTCTAAAATGAAACTAATACCTTTCTCTAGTCATAACAATAATTAAGTTTCTTCTTATTGAACAGATGAAAATCTATATCAAAATACACATCTATGGATTCAACTGTGGATTGGAAATATTAATTAAAAAAAAAAAGTAGTAAGTGGTCAAAACAATCCCTCAAAGGCTAAGAGGGAGTACAAAGTGCTATTTACATATTTACATTGTATTAGGTATTATAAGTAATCTAGGATTATTTAAAGTGTGCACAGATTTCATGCAAATACCATGCCATTTTACATAAGGGACTTGAGCATCTGTGGATTTTGTTGATCTGTGGGGGGTTCCGGAACCAATCCCCTGCAGATATTGAGGGACTGCAAAGTGCTAAATAAAAATGGAAGTATGACAAAAACCTAAAACATCAGGAATAGGCAGAGGAAATGGAATGTGTGATTAATTGCTTCCATGAACAACTTCCTCCTTGACCATGAGACCAAAAGAACCATATGGTTCTTGGCTACCATTACTGAACATTTTGATCAAAAAGTCCATAAAAGAATCCTGATGAAAAGGGGAAAAAGCAGAACAAAATTTCAAATTCTCATGTAATTTAGACTTTCTGGAACCATGGAGGCTAGATGCACCCTTGAAACTATTGCCCCAAGATAATCTTTAAACCTTAAACCAAAAATATCCCCTGAAGTCTTCTTAAAATGATAGTTTACCTTAACTAGTAAAGAAGGTCTTCCTTGAGCACTGTGCTCTTTTAAGATTTATCTACAAAGGGTCAAACTGACAATAACAACTCTGAAGATTAGATAGGAAACTTAGAGGGCAGTGAGTTGACGGTAATGAGGAAAGATAACTAAGAAAAGGAGAGTGAGAATCACTGCACAACTCGAAAAGTGGAATCCGTGTCACTGAATTATACATGTACAGATTGAACTGGTGTTATGTTCTGTTGAATATATACTCAAAAATAACAAAAATAAATCATATATTTGAAAAATCTAAATTAACTTCAAGGGAGTCTCTATGAAAAGATCATTTGAACCTAAATTTAGAACTATGAAGTCCTGATGGCATAGTGGTTAAATCACTTGGCTGCTAACCAGAAAGGTCAGTGGTTTGAACTCACCAGTCACTGGTGTAGAAAGACATGGCAATTTACTTCCATAAAGGTTACAGCCATGGAAACCCTAAGGGGCAGTTCTACTTTGTCCTATAGGGTCACTAAGAATTTGAATTGACTCAATGATAGCGGGTTTTGAACTATCCAATATTTTTATATTAAGATGTATTATTATTATTATTATACAGATATAATAGAAGGGCTCTCTATCCATCTCTCTTCTCCCACACCAACTGAAGTACAAAAGAATGGAGTAAAGTATGTGGTGAAAAGGATTGAAGTTGAATTCTTTTTTCAAAAAAGAAAGCTATTAGCAATCTCAGGAACCACTCTTGATTTGGAAAAAAGACTTCTTGATTACTCAAATTGTCTTTCTGACAAATTACTCTATTACTTACAGAAAGCATTTCAGTATTTGTGTGGGAAAGGAATACACAAGTGGTTCACTGTCATAAGATGAAGAACTTTTAGGGAGAGTGCTCTAAATGCCACGGTCTACAGAGGTATGTCTTCTATTGTACTTACCTTTGTATCCATCATTCCTTCTGTGACTTCTCCCATCTCTGACAGGATGGCCAAGGAATCGGGCAGTCCATACTTTGCTCCAGACTTAGGCTTATCACTACAAAACTCACTCTATAGGAAGAAAGAATGGATAACCAAATTATGGCACATACACACAATGGAACACTACGCAACACTAAAGAATAACGTAGAATCCGCAAAACATTGCACAACATGAACTTGGAGGACTTCAGCTGCATGAAATAAGGCAACCACAGAAGGACAAATATTATATTAACCCACTATTGTAAAAAATCAAGGAAGTGTTTATATATGGAAAGAAATTTTCTTTGTTGGTTATCAGGAATGGGAGGGGAGGGGATGGAATATTGCTAGATAGGTAAGAGACAAGTATTGATTTGAGTGAAGGGAAAGGCTATACCAAATTGAGTGACCAACACAGTAACACTAAGGAAAAGGAAGACACAGAGAGGTACACAAGAGGTACAGACAACAAAGATAAACACTTTTACATATATACTACTGCCTTATCAGTATTAACAAACATTAATCTATAGGTAAATACATGGATGTATAGATAGGCTGAATGATCAAGTATGTCTAGGCAAAAGGGAGTATACCTATGACCATATATAAAGTTGGCAGATGACATTCCTACACACGTATATGTATTGTAAGAATATCCACATAAATAGAACTAACAAGGGGCAAAGTTACGATAACTTCTTAGCCACAGTCAACCACCCTGATGGAGCAAGTTATTGTACCTTGGGCTCAGGACTATGGTTGTGGGGACATTAAGCTCAACTGGCATAAAATATTACACAAAATCATTGTTCTATACACTACAGTATAGAGTAGTGACTGGAGTCTTAAAAGCTTGCAAGTGGCCATCTAGATGCAACCATGGGTCTCTCCTTGTCTGGAGCAAAGAATGAAGAAAACCACAGATGCACAGAAAGAATTAGTCCAAGGTGGACCATGTGAACCTCAGCCTATATGACCAGAAAAACTAGATGGTGCCTGGCTACCATTATCAACCACTCAGAAAGGGATCACTGAAGGAGATCCTAGATAGAGTAGGAGAACAATGTAGAACAAAACTCAAAATCACAGAAAGGACCACGCTTACTGGTCTGATAGAACCTGGTGAGACACTTGAGACTATGGCTCCTAGTTACCTTTCAGGTCTGGAACTGAACTCATTTCCGTGGCTTTCAGCCAAGCAACAGACAGGCATATAGGGTGAACATTTACATCAGGTAGATACACTCCTTAGAATGATCAATCATGGGAGAACAGATGGGTAGTATTTACACAAAGAGATAGCTCAGGGGGCAGGAATGCATAGGAAAGAACAACACAGGGAGTGACAACTGCAGAGACAAAGTAAGATGGCAGTCAACTTCATGAAAAATGTGTATGAACTGCTTTAAGGAGAATGAATTTGCTCTGTAAACTTTTACCCAAATCACAATAAAAAATTTAAAACAAAACAAAAAAAAAAAACCCTCATTATAGAGGAAGAAATAAATGAAAATAAGACATGACATTTTACTGCACACAGATTTTTTTCTAACTCAAGAGAATATGTACTGGCCTATCAGTACTTAACAATGTTCAGATAATACAATTCTGCTATACTATGAGGCTGAACATTTACATAATAAAGAGGTAATTTCTATATAAATCTGAGTTGGAATGACCTCACATACCAGATCCTGCATCTCCTTCTGCAGTCGCACCAAGGCTTTCCGTGTGCCAACAGCAAACACATAGGTATCCATGTCTTCATCATTCATGGTTACTTTTATTTGCTTTAAAAAACAAACAAATGAACCTCACTTGTGTTGGGTTCTGTGGTAGGCAGAAATATTCTAATACGGCCCCCAAGATTCCTGCCCCCCACTGTATATATCCTCCTGAGTGTTAGCAGGATTTGTGAATGATAGGATATCACTCCCAGACTATGTTGCATTCTATGGCACTGTTAATCAAAAAGGACAGTAGCCTAGGTGGGCCTGACCTAATCAAATGAACTCTTAAAAGGGTTTGGGTCCTACTTGAAGAGATTTGAAAGTTGAGAGGGCCTATGCAGGGGGCCATGTGGTAAGGACCTAAGAGTTGCCTGTAGGAATGGAGTGTGGTTCCTGGAAGGCAGTAAGAAAACGGGGATCTACAGCCATAAGGAACTGAATTTTGCCAACAACCTAAAAGACTTTGAGAAGAGGACCCAAAGCTCCAGGGAAGAACGCTAGTCCAGCCGTCACCTTGATTTCAGCCTGGCTACAAGTCTGTGGTAGTTTGTCATACAGCAACAGAAAACTGATACAGGTTCACACAGAACTCAAATCCAAAACCAGAAATAAAGTATTAGCTGGGCAAGTGAAAAGTCCTTAGCATTCTACATTGGGTCAGAGAGAGAAAATTATAAGCCTAAAGAATCTGATACAAAAAAAAATA